GTTGTTTCCACTTGTTGGCTGTAGTGAATGAGACTGCTGGGAACATTTATGTAAATGTCTTTTTTTTTTTTTTTTATGAGACCAAATCTTGTTCTGTCGCCCAGGCTGGAGTGCAGTGGTGCGATCTCGGCTCACTGCAACCTCTGCCTCTAGGGTTCAAGTGATTCACCTGCCTCAGCCTCCCAAGTAGCTGGGATTACAGGTGCATGTCACCATACCTGGCTAATTTTTTTTTTTTCGTTGTTTTTTGAGATAGAGTTTCACTCTTGTTGCCCAGGCTGGAGTGCAATGGCGCGATCCAACTCACCGCAACCTCTGCCTCCCAGGTTCAAGCGATTCTCTTGCCTCAGCATCCTGAGTAGCTAGGATTACAGGCATGCACCACCACATCCAGCTAATTTTTGTATTTTTAGTAGAGACGGGATTTCATTATGTTGGCCAGGCTGGTCTTAAACTCCTGACCTCATGATCTGCCTGCCTTGGCCTCCCAAAGGGTTGAGATTACAGATGTGAGCCACTCTGCCCGGCCTTCTTTGTTTTTTTGTGTTTCTTTTTTTGAGATGGAGTCTTGCTCTGTTGCCAGGCTGGAGTACAGTGGTGCAATCTCGGCTCATTGCAAGCTCTGCCTACCAGGTTCAAGCTATCCGCCTGCCTCAGCCTCCTGAGTAGCTGAGACTACAGGTGTGTACCACCACACCCAGCTAATTTTTGTATTTTTAGTAGAGGCAAGGTTTCACCATGTTGGCCAGGATGGTCTTGATCTCCTGACCTTGTGATCCACCTGACTTGGCCTCCCAAAGTGTTGAGATTACAGGTGTGAGCCACCGTGCCTCACCAAAATGTTTTTATTATATATAAACAATTACATATTTTTTACTATATATATATGTGTGTGTGTGTGTGTGTGTGTGTGTTGGGGTTCTTTTTTTTGTGAGACACCGTCTTGCTCTGTCACCCAGGCTGGAGTGCAGTGGTGCCATCATAGCACACTGTAGCTTTGAGCTCCTGGGCTCAGGTGATTCTCCCACCTCAGCCTCCCAAGTACCTGGGACTACAGGTGCAGGCCACCACGCCCAGCTAAGTTTTGTATTTTTTTTGTAGAAACAAAGTTTCACCATGTTGCCCAGGCTGGTTTTGAACTCCTGGGCTCAAGAGATCTGCCCACCCTGGCCTCCCAAAGTGCTGAAATTGTAGGCGTGAGCCATCTTGCCTGGCTGGTAACCTATTTTGATACCTTTTTTTTTTTTTTTTTTTGAGATGTAGTTTCACTCTCTGCCATGGCTGGAATGCAGTGGCATCATCTCAGCTCACCGCAAACTCCGTCTCCCAGGTTCAAGTGATTCTCCTGTCTCAGCCTCCCAAGTAGCTGGGATTACAGGCACCTGCCACCACGTCAGGCTAATTTTTCTGTATTATTAGTAGAGATGGGGTTTCATTATGTTGGCCAGGCTGGTATTGAACTCCTGACCTCAATTGATCCACCCACCTCGGCCTCCCAAAGTGCTGGGATTACAGGCATGAGCCACCACACCTGGCCACCTATTTTGATATCTAAGTTACAGAATATCAAAGGGGTGTGTGTGTGTGTGTGTGTGAATCAGCTGGAGGATTAATAAAAGTCACCTGACGGTGGATGAAGTGGTCTGTAGACCTGAGTCTCTGGGGGAGGGTTAGCCTGTGTTGGTTATATGAGCGTAGTTGCATCACAGGCGGAAGCACGGTGCTGCTATTGGCTTTATTTGGAGGTTAATATGGTTAGAGGAGGTGTGCAGAAATGCCACAATGACAAAGGTGGGCTGGAGTGGTTTTGCCCTGTGTCCCCCTGGCTAAACTAGAACTAAGTTTCCCACAATCCCCTCCTCCATATGATTTGCGGTTAGAATTGGCTAAAAAAGAAATTTGTGAGATATCCGGTAGCAGAAAGGAAGCGACAGCCATCACAAAACATCACAGACATCTGGCCGTCAGAGGCCAGATGCACAGGTGCTGGGGCTGCCCAGGACCAGGGTAAGGGGAGCAGGCACCTGTGTGAGTGCAGGGTCAGCACCTGAGAGTGGGCACCCTCTTAGATGGTGGCCCTAGGCACCTGCTGGACACACAGTAGGGCCCCCTGCCTGGAAGCTCTCTCGGTTCTCAGGAGGAGGGCAGCTCAGGTGTGACCTGTAAGAAGGAAGAGCTTCTCAACAGACTTCTCCATTGTGGGCTGAACCCTCCCACCGAGTGCCTTCCCAGTTGTTATAGAAAACCAGAGCTGAGGCCAAGCGCTGTGGCTCATGCCTGTAATCCCAGCACTTTGGGAAGCCAAGGTATGTGGATCCCTGAGGTCAGGAGTTCGAGACCAGCCTGGCCAACAGTTTTAGTAAAACTCCGTCTCTACTAAAAATACGAAAAAGCCAACCAGGCGTGGTGGTGGGTGCCTATAATTTCAGCTACTTGGGAAACTGAGGGAGGAGAATTGCTTGAATCCAGGAGGGGGAGGTTGAGGTGAGCCAAGATTGCACCACTGCACTCCAGCCTGGGCAACCGAGCCAGACTCTGTCTCAAAAAATAAAAATAAAATAAAAAAAGAAAAGAAAGACCAGAGCTGGAGAGTAGCAAAAGGGTCAAAACAGATGGTATCTGGAACTACTGCAGTGGGGAAGAGGTCCCGGTATGAGGCTGGGCTCCATGCGAATACAGCATGGGCAAGTGGAGATTTATAGCCCTGGAGTAGGGTTGGGGGAGTGGGTGGAAATGGCTGAGAGGAAGCATCTCAGGGCTAAGTGGGGTTCCAGCTAACCCGACCTCCCGGGATTCCTCGGAACGCAGCCAGGCTGATCAGACATCACCTGGGGGACTGGGAATTTGATCAGATAGGGAAGGTGATCAGACGTTGAGGTTAGGTGGCTGTGGCTAAACCCACGTAGCAAGAATCTTGCTAACACTGTGCAGTGTAGACCCAACTAAGGTGGTCACTGAAGCTCTAGGTCAAAGCCTAGTTGATAAGGCTTAGAGGAGCCTGGCTCAAGATTTTTCAAGGAGAGAGTCTCTGTCACACTGCATGCCCAGGTGTGGAGACCCCTGGATTTCTGTGAGCCCTGACATCAGAGGCCTTGCGCCTGGTTCCTGCTGTCCCTTCCTGAGTTCCACCAAGTGTGTCCCGCTTGCTGGATTGTTAGTTGGTTCTCAGGCTGTCCCTGGCCTGGATGTGGGGAGAGGAGGGTGGTGGTCAGCTGCATGTCCTAGGCATGAGGGCTCCACCACTCCATCCCCGTGCTGTGCCCCAAGGAAGGCAGTCAGACTTGGGCCCTGGTCCTGGTCATCAGGGATGGGCCTCTCTGCATGGTTGATGGAGAAGGCCTCTCTGTATCCCCTGGGCTTCTGGTCTGATAAGGCTTCCCATGAGTAAATCCAGCCAGCTGTGGAAAAAGGGCAGGGAGAAACCCAGAGAAATGGGACCAGGGCTCTGGGATCGGGTGACCCTAGGCACCCCACGTCTGGATTCCCGGTTATGCCAGGCAATAACTCCCTCCTTGTCTGAGGCCATTTAAGTTGGGTTTCTGGGACCTGAAGGATGGCTCTGTGCCATGGTCTGTAAGAGACACTGCACATGTGCTCTGGAATCATGGTGGGAGAGGCACCTGGCAATGCTATCCCAGACCCGATACTGCACAGAAAAGGCCTAGCAATCGCATCATAGAGATGCAACTAAACTCGGAAATGCAAGAAGAACAGACACGACACTTGCACAATATAAGGGCACATTTAAGTCTTTTAGAGAAGAGCTCCCACGTGCAAGTATGGGGGGCTAGGATAGAGAATGGCTGAAAGTAAACAGATGGAGAAAGATACATGAAATTCCTACTCAAAAGAAAACTGGTGTAGTTATATAGATATCAGATAGAAGAAAATTTAAGGTAAAAGGTATCATCTGGAATCAATAGGGCTATTTTATGCTAATAAAAGTTTTATTTAGACTGGGCACGGTAGCTCACGCCTGTAATCCCAGCACTTTGGGGAGCCAAGGCAGGTGGATCATGTGGTTAGGAGTTCGAGACTAGCCTGGCCAACATGGCAAAAGGCCATCTCTACTAAAAATGCAAAAATTAGCTGGATGTGGTGGTGGGTGCCTGTAATCCCAGCTACTTGGGAGGCTGAGGCAGGAGAATCATTTGAACGTGGGAGGCAGAGGTTGCAGTGAGCCAAAATCACACCATTGCACTCCAGCCTGGGCAACAGGGTAAGATTCTGTCTCAAAAAAAAAAAAAAATTATTTTAGCTGGGTGTGGTAGGTCATGCCTGTAATCCCAGCACTTTGGAAGGCTGAGATGAGTGGATCACCTGAGGTCAGGAGTTCAAGACAAACCTGGCCAATATGGTGAAATCTCATTTCTACTAAAAATACAATAATTAGCCGAGTGTGGTGGCACTTGCCTGTAATCCCGGCTACTCTGGAGGCTGAGGCAGGAGAATCACTTGAGCCTGGGAGGTGGAGGTTGCAGTGAGCCAAGAATGTGCCATTGCACTCCAGCCTGGGCGACATGAGGGAAACTCAGTCTCATAAAGAAAAGAAGAAAAGATTTACCTCATCAGGAGGTCATAAGTATTTTTTGTTTTTGTTTTGAGACAAGGTCCCACTCTGTTGCCCAGGCTGGAGTGCAGTGGTGTGATCATGGCTCATCGCAGGCTAGACCTGGGCTCAGGTGATCCTCCCACCTCAGCCTCCCAAGCAGCTGGGACTACAGGTGCAAGCCACCATACCTAACTGGTTTTTAATTTTAACTAGGTTTCACCCTGCTTCCCAGGCTGGTTTCAAACTTCTGGGATCAAGTGATCCTCCTGCCTTGGCCTCACAAAGTGATCGGATTTTAGGCATAAGCCACCAACCAGACCAACAGTTTTAAATCTGTATACACCTAATAATGTATGTACATTTTGTCTCATAATGCCCACAGATCTTCTCTTGAAGTAGGTCTTCTAAGCCCTATGTCACAGGTTAGGAATGAAGGTTCAGAGATATGGCAGGTCTAGGTCACGTTCATGGCATTAGTGAGTGGCAGAGCTGGGCTCTGGGCCCTGGTGTGGGAAGAGAGCTTCCATGGTGTCCAGACATAGTGCCCTCAGGTAAACAAAACTGTCTCATTCATACTTTATTCTTGTCCACACATCCATGCTGGGAGTTCACTGATGACTCTCCCCTGAGGCTCAAGCTTTGCCATGGTCAGTCTCACAGGCTATCATTACCTTCCATGCTGTCCATGCAGTGTTGTTTTTAGCTGGTGCTTTTGTTACCACCACAGGTTTGATTCCTGGGCAGGCATGGCTCTGGCCCGGGCTAGCCGCATTCAGGACAAGCTGAACTCCAATGAGCTGAAGAGTGATGGGCCCATTTGGAAGCATGCCACGCCTGTCTTGAACTGCTTCCGTCGGGCCCTGGAGATTGACAGCTCCAACTTATCCCTATGGATTGAGTATGGTACCATGTCCTATGCCAGCTGAAGCAGTGGAGAGGCGAGCTGCCCCCTGAGCTCGTGCAGCAGGTGAGGAGGGGTTGCTGCAGATGGGCCTGCCATCCTTCTGTCCAGACATAGTGCCCTCAGGTAAACAAAACTCTGTCTCATTCGTACTTTATTCTTGTCCACACATCCATGCTGGGAGTTCACTGATGACTGGGAGTCCTCCCCTTGAGACTCGAGCTATACCATGGTCAGTGACAACTTGGTCCCTGGTCTTTGGACATCTCGTCTAGTGTAGACAGATTTAGGGACAGGCTTTTAGGCTTTTAGACCCAACTGGTCAGCCATTAGTTATAGTGTAGTTGAGAGACAGGGAGGGGAGAGGTAATGGCCACCAGAAGTAGCTATTTCTTCTCTTTTTCCTCAAAGGAACTTGTTGGATCCTTGTAAAATTCTTAAGCTTAGGATGGGATTTTGAAGTCTCTCTTGGTAGGGGATTACTCTAGTGCAGGATGCTGAGTCTGGCCTTAGGTCTCTGTTCAGTAGGGTACCCTTGGTTCCTTGAGATGGAAGCGAAGGAGCCATACTGACATGTTTAGGCCAGTGCAGCAGTAGCAGTAGTACAGTAGCACTGCACCCTGGAAGAGGAGAGGGGAAAGAAGTGTCAGCACAGCCTTGTCTTCAGCATTGCTTCCTTTAAAAAATTACTCTTGGCCAGCCGTGGTGGCTCACACTTTCGATCCCAGCACTTTGCAAGACCGAGGCGGGCAGATCATGAAGTCAGGAGTTGAAGACCAGCCTGACCAACATGGTGAAACCCCGTCTCTACTAAAAATACAAAAATTAGCAGGGCGTGGTGGTGCATGCCTGTAATCCCAGCTATTCAGGAGGCTGAGGCAGGAGAATTGCTTAAACCTGGGAGGCGGAGGTTGCAGTGAGCCAAGATCACGCCACTCGCACTCCAGCCTGTGGAGTGCCCAACCTGGGCAACAGAGTGAAACTCTATCTCAAAAATAAAATAAAATACTCTTAAATCTTACAGGGGACACAGGCTTCTTTAAATCAATATTAAGGGCAAAGCTCAGATCCCTCTGGCTGCCCCTACCACCTCAGAAATAGTTAGGCTTGTTTTGTTCTAGACTTTAAAAAAAATACTTTTTATACATAAATACATACTCCTAGAAAAAAACACCAATCTAAATGCTATCATAGTGTATATAGTACTCAGCTGCCTTTTTCACTCAGCACCATGATATTGAGTTCTATCCATGATAATTCCTATGGATCTAGTACATTCTTTTAACTGCTGCAACCCTATTTTATTGTAACTGTTCTGCACAAAAGTCCCTTGCAGGATTCTATTTGTGTTGCAGTGGCCCCAGAGTCGTGCAGGCTGGGGACTGAAGCTGCTGCCCTGGGATGCAAAGCCTCACTCCCCAAGAGGCCTTCCCTGTAACAGCAGGAGCTCCAGTATCCTCTGCTGGGGCACAGTGGGCTGAGCTGATCATGGTCCTTGGGATTTTCTCCCTAGTCTTCCACCAATGATGCCAAATGAGATTTGGCAGAGTGGGAATTCTCCAGGAAATAAATGGAGTGAGAAGTCATGGTGCCCTTTCTGCCATTGGCACTGGTTTGTAGAGCTTCGTTTGTAGAGGTCCCCCCTGGAAGGGAACAGGGAAGTTAGGGAGTGGGTAAGGAGACTGAACTCAACTTTCTACACACCTTTGCCCCTTGCCTTGTTCTTTCCTCTACTTAGGCTTATAGCCTTTGGGACTGAACTCGGTGTTGATCTGATGGAAGCCATTGGCACAGGAAGCTCAGGTCCTGAAAGTGGGTTCCCAAGGCATCTTGCTGGAGTGTTAGGGTGGTAGGAGGGAGATGGAAATCCACCAGGAATGCAGATGTCCCAACAGGGAGGGAGGGAAGGTCGGGGGGAGGTTTTCCATAGTTGTCCGTGGTAAAAACTGCCTCACAGGGCTGCCTTGTGCCTCCTGGGTTCTTTCCACCTCTGGAGAGACAGCTTCCAACCCTGAAATGTGTCATGGGGACACAGTCCCCTGATGGCTGTTTTTCTGTCTGAATTTATTGTGTCTTAAGGATGGGCTTCAGGACACATGTTAACAGCTGTTCGAGCTTCTGTATGCTTAAGCTGCTGCCTACAAACTCCTCAGAGGCGGTGGTATAGGAGAACAAATGCTTTCCCCATGATGTTAATTCTCAGGGAAGAGGAAAGGCCTTAGAGCTAGGAGTTTCTAGCTGTGGGACCTGGAAGCAGTAACCTGGCATTTCTGTTGTTCCTTCTCCAAGGCAGTATTGTGAGAGTTCATTGGGAACACCTGTCTTCAGCCATCTCCTGAGCCCCTCTTATGGACACCCCGTATGCAAGGTGAATAAGGTGCCTGTTCTGTTCTGAGGACAGCAAGGTAGTGAGAGGGTGTCTATCAGAGCTTCTGAAACACAGCAGGCCCTAGGTGACTGCCCCTTCTGTTCCTGTCTGAGGTTTTGTGACTGCCACACCAGAAGGACAGGGACATTGGCAGTGTGCCCTGTATGGGGAAGGGGTGGAGGCCTAGCCTCTTGCCAAGGATCTGCATGGTACTAGATGCCAGCCCAGACAGGGCTCTTCACAGCCACCCTCTCTTTCTTGGCAGGTGGTTGTCATAGGTGCCAGTGGCAGAACAAGATGGGCAGTGGGGCTAGTGACTTGGTCCAGGTCACACAGCTACAAAGTAGTTCGTGTAGAAGGACTTCATTTCAGCCATTGCCTTTTACTTCAGCACATTTGCAACACAGTTCCATCTTGGAGGGGATGTGGTGGAGTCACCTGGTTGGTCCCGTGTTTGGCCCTGCACTGTGATTCTGCCGTATTTCACCCGGTGGTGATCTCTCAATTCCTACGAGGTCTTTTTTTTTTCTCCTGAGAAGTGTCTGACAGAACACTGGGTAGCAGATTGCTACCAGTGGTCCTGGGGCCATTGCTATAAGGTTTTCACATAAACAAGCACCCACTGGACAGACGTCCAAGGGCAGGCTCGACTTGGCTGGATGAGAACATGAGGCACCTCCTGCAGGCTGCAGCAGCTGCCCTTGCCAGAGACCTGCCTGCAGCCTCTTCCCCTCTCACTGGCCCCTGAGGTCAGGCAGGAAGAGGCTTTGGCTTCCCTGCCATTGATCCAGGACCACAGAGAGAAGGGATCAGAGACGTGGGCTGCTCAGAGCAGCTCTGTGCGCCCACACAGCCAGGCTTCTCTCTAGCTTCCAGCCCAGAATTCTGGAGTGAGGGTTCCCGAGTTTGCCTGGCAGCTGACTAGGGTTGGGACGCCTCTTAAAAGGTGACCCTCTGTGCTAGCTGTTTCCTTCCTTCAGGCTGTGAGAGGGTGGCTGGAGGTGCTTGCTGCAAATGCGGTCTCCTGGTCAGTGAGTCTTGAGTGGGGCTCAGGAATTTGCCCTTCTATAAGTACTCCACATCTCTCTTAAAGAGCACAGAGGAGATAGTGGGAAGTCCTGTTGTACCCCAGGGGTACACACCCTCTCCTGCGCAGTGGAGCTGGGTGCTGGATGCATGTCCTCTTCAGTGCTGTAGGGCCGGGTGTTATTAGTAAATGTCCTCTCCAGTGCTGTGGAGCAGGGTGCTCGGTGAATCTGTGTTACATGCTATAGGGGGAAAGTAGAAAAAAGCACCCTGGTTGACATGAGGTAACCTGAATTTAAGTCCTCTGTGCCTTGCTTGGTATGTGCTTTTGAGGAACCCCCAGGCCTTTCCACACTTCAGTGTCACCAGCTGTGAAACGGTGAGAGCATTTCTGTGTCTGTTGTTGACAGGAGTATAAATTTGCAAATAGGTCAGCAGAGCTTTGTACAGGAAAAAGTCTGATCCCTGGACAGGTTCAGGCCTAAGGCTAGCCCAGTCTCATGGTCTTCTTACAGATGGAGGGCCGGCGTGACAGCATGCTAGAGACAGCCAGGCACTGTTTCACATCAGCAGCCCACTGTGAGGGTGACGGTGACGAAGAGGAGTGGCTCATCCACTACATGCTGGGCAAGGTGGCTGAGAAGCAGCAGCAGCCACCCACCGTTTACCTGCTGCACTACAGGCAGGCTGGCCACTACCTGCACGAGGAGGCTGCCCGCTACCCCAAGAAGATCCACTACCACAACCCACCCGAGCTGACCATGGAGGCCCTGGAGGTGACACCATGCTGGCCCTGGGTGGGGAAGCAGGGCAAGGGCAGCCTGGTTTATCTGTCTCCCTGGGGATGGGGCTCAAGGTTCCAGTGACCCCCCACCTTCAACCTGCCGGAAACTTATCTGTGTTGAGCAGCTTCATGTGCAGTTGAATTAAAACAGCATTTCCTCTCTTTTCCCAAGAGGTATTTATCATCCTTTCTGGGAGGGTGACCATTTTGTTCTTATCTCTCGGAAGAAAATCGTCTTTCCTCATTAATACACACAGGTTCTAAGAACCTGACCTTGGTGATGATAGTCAGTGCCACATAGCATCTCCCAGGCCCAGGACATTCTCACTCTGTAGCCTGGCAGGAGGGCAGGCACCCTTGCCTCCAGGGTACAAATGAGACATCCAAGGCCCAACCTGTGCCCAGGCTACCCCAGGTTGGCAGGGGCTGAGCTAGGGTGAGCAACCTGCTCTCTTGTCCCCCAGTTTGGGGTCTTCTGGTTGTTGTTCAAGAAAAGAGCAGTTTTTTACTGCCTGGATTTTCTCTCATGATTTCCAGTGTTTCTGATGAATGCTTTCACTGTTGCTCACAGCAGTCTTGTGAGGCAGGCTGGACAGCCCTGATTGTCGATTTTGCGGGCAGGAAAACCAAGGACGTTGGTGGAGATCCAGATATGCTTGGTTCAGCCCAGGACTTGAGGCTTCCAGAGGTCCTGTGTATGCTGGCCTTGCCCTTTCTGAGGCTATGTGCCCAGTCTCTACCAGCCTCACAATCCTCAGCAAGCCTCTTGGAGTATGGACAGAATCTACTGCTTACTTTTTTCTGCCTTTGTGATTTTTTTCCTGAGTATAAAATTAACGTGTGTGTGTGTGTGTGTGTGTTTAAAGAGATTCAAACAACTCACAAGAGTATGCAGTGTAAATGTGAAGACCCCTAATGATTCCAGTATGCCCTTCCATAATCCCGAACAGTTTGCTATGTCCCTGTATGTCCAGATTTTTTCCTATTAACATATAAATGTATAGTAACATTTTCTTACGATTTTGCAGCTTGCCTTTTCGCTGGACAAAATGTAATGGAAGGCGTGGTGAGCTTCCCTGCCTGCCCTAGTGCCCTGTAGTTTAGCAGGGCATTTGTTTGTCTGCACAGCCCCTTAGTAGGTTTGGTTTCCTCTCTACTTCTTGCCATGACATGGCACAGACAGTGCATGTCCTTATACTTGTAGCAGGGAGCACATCATGAGTATTTCCAAGGGTAAAGTCCAGACAGCCTGGCACGTGGAATTGCCAGGTTGTTTAACATTTTGGTCAACAGTGCTCCTTAATCCAGTGGTTGTACTGACTGATGAGAGTGTCTGCTTTCCCTCAGCCATCTTGATGAGCTCCTCTTTTTAATATTTGCTAATTTTGTGAACAAACAAAAATGTTTCATTTCGGCCAGGCATGGTGACTCACAACTTTAATCCCAACACTTTGGGAGTCCGAGGAGGGTGGATCACCTGAGGTCGGGAGTTCAAGACCAGCCTGATGAATGTGGTGAAATCCCATATCTACTAAAAATTAGCCAGGCATGGTGGTACAGGCCTGTAGTCCCAGCTACTTGGGAGGCTGAGCTGGGAGGATCACTTGAGCCTGGGAGGTGGAGGTTGCGGTGAACCAAGATTGTGCCACTGCACTCCAGCTTGGGTGACAGAGTGAGACCCTGTCTCAAAAAAAGTCTCATTTTAAAAAACTTCTTTGGGTTAGGCGTGGCAGCTTACACCTGTAAATCCCAGCACTTGGGGAGGATTGCTTGAGTCCAGGAGTTCCAGATGTAGAGCTGGGGATCTCAGAGGCTAGTGGGCAGCATGATGAGACCCCCATCTCTACAAAAAATGAAAGATTAACCAGGCCTGGTGGGATGCCCCTGTAGTCCCAGAAACTTGGGAGGCTGAGGTGGGAGTATCGCTTGAGCCCAGGAGGTCGAGACTGTCAGCCCGGGTGACAGAGAGACCTTGTCTAAAATAAAAAACAATTTGCCTGTTTTGGGGCCATAGTCACTGGGCTCATGGAGAAGTGTGGAAGCACAGCTTCCTGTTGAATGCTATCTCAGCAGCAGTAGCCTAGCTGCTCCCATTCACAGCCCTGGGTCTCACGTTCTTCCCTGTCATAGTGCTCATGCTGTCCACCTGGGGGGATGTACCTTGAAAGAAGCCACCTTTGGGGTAAGAAGACTAAGGCCCAGAAGAATGATGTGACTTGCCTTAAGTCACTTGTAGGAAAAGAGAGGAGTTGGGCCAGATGCCCACTGAGCCCATCATTCTCACATGGCACCTCTGGGAAGCCACTGAACCTGCCTGTGACCCTCAGAAAGATGATGTCAACTCTGTTTTCCTCCATAGTTTTGTCTTCAAGGTTTAGCCTCTGCTACTACCTGATAGAGCAGATGAGCAGGCAGGATGGTAGCCCCAGCGGTCCCATCCTGCGATGTCCAGATGAGGAACCAAGGCCTCAGATATGGGGCCCACCATCCCCCAGCACACTATGCTGGCTCCAAGGAGAGCAAGCACACATAGTTAATTTGGGGAGCATCCCATTCCACGCAACCAATGTAGCCATGTAACTTTGAGTCAGCTGGTACATGTGTGTATCTTGTGTTAAAAATGACATTTCTCTGAACATTTTAACTGTCTCCAGATGAAAATTCTCCTCTGCTACTTTGCCTTCATTCAAGATACTCTACCCACTACCTGGATGAACTTTACCACTTGAAGGCTTTGCCTTCCCCCAGGTCTGGCCACCTGAGTGTGCGTGGGTGCTTCGGATGGTTTCCTACATCTAAAAGTAGAGTTGCTGGGCCAATTTCTCTGTGCTCTATAGGTGGGCTAGAGGTGGAGGGGTGGTGGATTGAGCCCCCCTCTGTCTAGGATGCCCCCTTGAGAGTGTTGCCATCAGGTGTCTCTCCCGGGTGAGGGAGGTTGCTTAGCCAGGACCTACTGTGTCAGCAGTTCTGAGCCTTCATGCCCCAAACTGTGCCCAACAGGTGGAAGCCTGCATCATACCCACACCTATGTGAGAAGGTCAGGTCAGACCTGGGTTTAACCTGGCCCTGGGCATTCCTGGCTATGAGGCTTTGGACAATTCTTCACCCATTGTAAATTGAGGAATTTGGTAAGGACTTGAGGAAATGGAGGAAAACACAGGGCCCAGTGGATGCAATGAGCTGCCTGACCACCCATCCCCCTGCCACACCCACTGGGAAGGGGTTCTCAAGGCCTGTGGGTGCCTGGCTCTGCCCAAGGGCTGAACTATAGACAGAAATCCAACCTAGTCCTTGTTTCAGGGAGTCCAGAGTTCAACGGGGAGACAGATGTAGCAGCTCACTTTCTTTGGGTGCCCACAGAAGGGCACAAAGAGAACAGTGGCACTGTGGCGGGAGGCAGTGCCCAGTGAACGGAGCTGAAGGGTTATCACAATGAGTGGTTATTACTTTCATCTCACTACCATGTGCCTGAGTTACTGGGTGAACATTACGCTGGAATTCTGTCAGTATACATTTTAATTTTCACAGCTTGTTTTCAATTACTTGTAGGATGGCTGATTTAAAAGCTAACAAAAACAGGCAGTGTGTGGCAGCCTGTTGCCCTGGTCATAGGCCTATTTCCAGTGTGGCTGACTGGCTTGTGGAACAAACCTTAGCAACTGGGAAGGCTGCTCACACCAGAGGTGTCGTTCTCCTAGGTGTACTTCCGGCTCCATGCTTCCATCCTGAAGCTCCTGGGGAAGCCCGATTCTGGAGTTGGTGCAGAGGTCCTGGTCAACTTTATGAAGGAGGCTGCAGAAGGACCCTTTGCCAGGGGTGAGGAGAAGAACACACCGAAAGCTTCAGAAAAGTGAGTAGCACCCTTTAGGTGACCCCTAGCAGCTTACCCCATCTGCATCCCAGATGGCTTGTTTACTGTAATGTGGTGTTCAGAGGGTTGCTGCACAGTAAACTACAACTCTTGAAGTCCCTAGGACCCATCTGGACACTCCCATTTGCTGGGCCAAGGTATTTATGTTGAATCTGAGAAGAAGAGGGTGAGTGTGAGTCCTCTTACCCTGTAGTCGTATTTAGTGCTACTCTATTCTCAGGGGCAAGTCCTGGGGAGAAGCTGATGCCCTCCTGCCCTCTCCACTGGGGCACAGCCATGTTCTGTGCAGAACACTCTTAGAAGTCAGTTTTTGCTTTGCAGACTCTTGCCCCTGGGTCTTTGCCAAGGCCTCATCTGCTGCCGGTTCTCTCGAGAAGCAGTGAGAGGTGTGGGAAGTGTGGGCTTCTCTTGTGGTGGCAGAGAGCTCGGAGAAACTGGGGCTCAGGTGTGGTCCCCTCAGTGGGCCTGGACTGACCCCAGTCTCCCTGGGGTTATAAGTCATCTCTGCAGCCCAGACTTCTTTCACTCCAGGCCCAGGTCCTGGTGCTGCTCTACCCTCTGGGGCAAGTCTTAGGGAGAAAGATTGGTTTGGGGTGACAAGGGGAATATTGCAGCTGCTCATTAATCTCATTAACTGATTCTTGTGCTTCCAAGACATGCTCAGGGTTGCCATCTGCCAGCTTGCTCACCTGGGAGCCAGAGGAGGGCTCAGCTCACCCCATCTCTGGGACCGATGCCTGGCTGGGCACTGTGTGGAGTCCATTTTAGTGCCAGAGAGGCCTGCACTCAGGCTCTGCGCTTGAGGGCTGTCTGCTTCTGGCCATAGATAGCCTGTGTGACGTGTGCCACAGGTGAGCCAGCTCCACAGAGCGGGTGCCCTCAGCTTATAGCAGGCCTGTGCATGGCAGCCAGTGTGCTCAGAAGTTACAGATACCCATTTGGTAGTCACAAAGGGCCCCCAGCATACAATGATACTTACTTTCATTGATCATAATTCTGTTGACATTTTTTTAATTTGTTGACATTTTTGTACAAATAAGACATGAATACATTCTAGTTACAGAACATTCAGGTAGTATATAAACATGTAGACTAAAATGTGACAGATCTCTTCTCCTTAAAAGTCAGCCACTATTCACAGTTTAATTTCCTAAATCATTTTCTGTATTTATAACACTTACGCACACATACAATTGTGGGATTTCTTTTATTTTCTAAAAATGAACTACAGAAGGTATTATTCTAGAGTTTGCTTTTTCCCCTGACAGTGGGTCTGGGCACAGTCCATAGAGATGGTACCCCATTCACCTCGTTCTTTCTCGTGACTACTTACTATACCATAGTATGGATGTTCTGTTTTACGTAACCACTCCAGTGGACATGGAGAGTGTTTCTGATGTTTCTGCTCAACCATGTTGCGGCACATATCCTTGTACATGTGTGAGCATGCAGTAAATGCAGCTGTGTTTCTGCCCGCCCATTTGTCAGGGGTGAAATTTGTCAGGCTGTCACACAGAAGGCATTGACATAGCATAGAGAGATGCGAGGGAGCTTCTGAGGAAAGACACGTTGGCTCCCCTATAGAGCCTCCTGGGGCCTGAGATGCAGAAATGCGGGTTGCACCCTGCGAGAAATATTAAGCAACATCCAGTTAGGAGACAGAGCCTGTGTGGGTGCTGTGAGGGCAACTCTGGGCTGTGTGACACCAGACAGATGGGGCAGGGGCCACCAGAGGTGCATGGGAGCAGCGGGCTCTGGGAAGGGCACTCACCCACACCATCACACATCTGTTTCAATGTGAGGTGGAGACTCTGACCTATTCCCCAAACCTCTGATCCCACAGGGAGAAGGCCTGCCTGGTGGACGAGGACTCCCACTCTTCAGCTGGGACACTGCCGGGCCCCGGAGCCTCCCTCCCCTCCTCCTCTGGCCCAGGTCTGACATCCCCACCTTACACAGCCACTCCGATTGACCACGACTACGTCAAATGTAAAAAACCCCACCAGCAGGCAACGCCGGACGGTACAGTCCCTGTTCTCCCTACTGCCAGCCCAGGGCGGCACATCAATCACGGGGAGGGTGCTTGGGCGACTCATTTTGTCACTTTGTTTTGGTGAGCGGGGTGGTGGGTCTGGGGTGACATGGGCAATGTTGCGGCTGCTCATTAACCTCATGGATTCACGGTGATTCTTGTGCTTCTGAGACATGCTCAGGGTCGCCACCTGCCAGCTTGCCCACCTGGGAGCCAGGGGAGGGGCAGGCCAGGCTATGGCATCTCACCTCTTTGAGCCTTCTTTTTCCCACCTGCAATATGGAAGGCAGTTAGAAGACTGTGGCCTCCTGGAATGGCTCCTGGTGCAGTCAGCTTAGTGACACCTGCGTTGTTCAGCAGCGTGTTGTAACTGCTCTGTCCTTCTGACGGCTGAGGGAAGGCCGTGACTAGTGCTAAGTCTGTCACACCTGAGAATCCAGATAGGTTGTTAATGGGGGTCACCTGGGACCATATGTGTGGCCGTCCCATGTGGGATGGGGCAGGTGGCGACCATTCAACCACATTCCTTACTAACATTAGGAGGCTTGCATGCTGGCCTGTAGCTCGATTTCTTCATGTTCTCTCATTTTTATAGTGATAAGCTAGTGACAAAGTGGTTGCTGGGATAAGCCAAATTGGTGACTTAAGAGGGCCACTAAAGTGGAGTCCTGGGAGGTAGTGACAATGCTGAAAGACACCTGGCCCCTCACTCCCATATCACTCATCTCATCTGGGTTTGGGGAAACAGGCCTTCCTCTGCATTCCCCAAGGCATGGGGATGCTAGTAGGTGGATAGAATTGGTCCCAGGGCTGTGCCTCCTGCAAGGTGGTTTTTATAAAAGTGGCTCCTTGGAGTAAGAATGGGCCCTTTAGGGTGCCATGGTAGCCTTGAAGTTTAGTCCCGGTGCAGGTCTGGAGCAGGGGGAGCACCACCTTCACTCTAGTGCCCTGCTGAGGCCCCTGCCCAGTGCTCAGCTTCCTGGATATAGCATAGGCATCTGCCCACAACTTTCTGAACTGAGTGGGTAGGACTTGGGAGCAGGTTTAAAGAAGTGCTGGAGAAAGGATGACAAGGGGGCCAGAGTTCCATTTCTCTGGGGGCATGATTTGCTATTCTCAAGAAAGGAAAGGAGAGCTGCAGTGTCCCCTCCTGGGTTTGGTTTGGATCTGCAGCATGTGTGTTGAGAGAGGCTGAGGATCTGAGTGTGTGCTGTGTCTCTTACCTCCCAGAAGGTTTGTGTCATTATTCCCAGTCTCAGCGTTGGCACCTCCCTGCCCACCCCAGAGTGTTGAGCAGAGGTAGGAGGAGCTGACCCACCTGCCCCTCCAGTCTTCAGTTCTGCAGACATTCCCTGTTAAGATCCTTTCTCCCTTTCTTAGTTAAGTTAATCACCCTGTTCCCAACCTTTGACTCTTGAGAATATTGAGAAAACATACTAGCAGCAAACCCCTGCTAGGGGAGTTAGTTTTTGCCAGCTGCTTCCTGGGAGGAAGTATTATGCCAAAGTTTTCAGGAGAGGAATGCCTTTCCTGGTTGTCTACATGCCATGTGGCCCTGCTCAAATGTACCTGGGCTGGGGAACGCAAGCACTGTCCTCTGCAGCTCTGCAGGCTCCCGCTGAGTTCATGCCACAGACGCCACTGTGCTGGGCTGTTAGCCCATTAGGGTTAAGTCTGCCTCTAGAAGCAGCGAAGGAGGGAGGTAGGAGCACCTCAGAAAGGGGGCCATGATGCCAGCTGTCCCATGTTGGCGCATGTACACACATGCATGAAGCTGTTGCTGAGCCACTGCAGATCACTCAGGCATGACAACTGGGCATGACGGGTCCTGGGTGCCAGCATGCTAATTATTTGTTCTGGAAGTTTGCAGAGGGAACCATACAAATAAATTCAAATATGGTTTCAGCAGTTGCACAATTTTGATTATTTGTATAAAAAATGTTTTCAAAGTGATTCCTGTCAATGATACAAAGCCATCAGGATCCCATGGCCCACCTTTGCCCACTCATAGCCCCACACTGGCCACCTGCGTGCTCTGCCCAGGCCTGGCTGCATAGGGCTTTCAGAACTCAGCTGCCTCACCTCTGAGAGAAAGCAGTGTCTGCAACATGAAAATGTTTGGGGTCCTAAAATAGCTGTGGTCTTAGAATGTTAAAGTGGCCCTTTCAGCAGCTACATTAATTCCTAGGGGAAGACCCAGGCTCCAGGGAGAAGCAGCAGATTGCTGGTGTCAGGGGATGTGCTGGTGGCTTCTGGGGGCCACACTGCCCACCTCTGTTCCTACTTCTCCTTCCGGGGAGAACATGTAGCTTCTACTTTCCAGTTAGTTTCTTGGCCTGAGACCAGCCTTGGGTCTACTGTGGGAGGACAGGGGCGTTAGCACTCATTACAGGCCACCGCTGAGTCCTCGCACCACCAGGAGAGTGCTGGGCACTTCGAGCTGAGGAGAAGCAGTCATGGGGAAGTCAGACAGGGAGGCAAGTACACAGCAGGCCCTGATCAAAGGATCTGATTTCCAGTCCCAGCTCCATTGTGCTCTGCAACCTTGGACAAAGGACCTCACTTCTCAGTTTCCTCACCTGTTGAATGGGGTAATGTCTTCCTCATGGGTATTAAATCAAAGTGCTAACACTTTGTAGCCACCTCCTAGATGGAGTTATCCAGGTCATTGGTGGAGTGAGGGGCAAGCCTTAGGTAGCACTGCATAGAGGGAAGAGCCTGAGCTCTGGGGCCAGTACCCCTAGGCACCCCAACTCTCTCCAGCCAGTGGCATGGCCTTACAAGAGGTGCAGGTAGTGTCCTCTGAATCAGCCGGCAGCTCCTCAGTGGGCTTGGGCGTGGGGCTTTCTGGATCCCAGCTTCCCACCCCCACAGAAAATTTGCCAGCAGTGGGAGAGGGAGTCAGGCATCAGGACTTTCCTTGGTCATGGTTAGGAGACCTTGCATCAGAGCTCCCTTCCCACATTAGTATGCCTTTGCTTCAAAACCAGAAATCAGCTAGGGTCAATTCTGATTTGGTTTAAGATTTAGAAAAGATTTAGAAAAATAGCTCCAGGTATATGTAGGTTCCCTAACATTTGATAGTAGCTGCTTCATAGGACCCAAATTTGTTCTCTGAACTACCCTCACCTGCAACCTTGTGTTGCCTGCACTAGGGTGGGGAGCATCCTGCAGCCCGTGCGTAATCTGGTAAAAATCCTTTGGAATCAGCCCCTCAGGTCACTCTGACTGTACCGCAGCCTGGTGTCAAAGCCAGCCCTTCTCCGAACAGCCAGGAGGGCACTCACGGCTGACCTGAGGAGGGGCCCTCTGGCCAAGCTGCAAAAGAGAGCAAGAGAGATAACAGAGAGAGAAGCTTCGTCCCAGGCTGTGCTGCTGGCAGCTCTGGCTGGTTGTGCTTCCCACCTGCCTAACGTCTCCCTTCCATTAGTCTCTTAGAATTTGCCCACAGGGCTGAAATCCTTAGTGTTGAAGCATCCTGACGAGGAAAACAAAGTGACCAGAGGAGTAAGTTGTGACCTTCAAGGGGCTCCCAGTGATTATTCTTTACACATGTTCAAACAACATAAGGAGATCTTTGAACAAAACCTCTACCCCTACCCTGTGTATAGTATGCATGTGTATGTTTGTGTGTGTGTGTGTGTGTGTGTGTGTGCGTGCGCGCGCCCCTGTGTAATTATGCCCTACCACTCAGTACTGTGTGCTTGCTGTGTGCTGGGCTCTGGGCAGGTGCCTGCAGGGTAGTAGCATATCTCCATCTTCACAGCTGCCCTGCAGGCTTGGCCATGCCTTTGTTTCCCCAAGAGGAACCAGAGCTGAGGGCAGGTGGGCACTCATCCAAAACTGCCTACTATAGTCAGGGTGGAGCCAAGAGAGAGTGGATCTGAATCTCCCTCCACCCCTGGCCAGAGGTGAGGCTGATACTAGGAAGGCCTGTGCTTGGCCAGCCTGCCAGAGACTGAATCTGTGTGTTTCCCTTGTCCTTCAGCAGAGGGCCCAGGGAACTTGGCTATGACAGAATGGCTTGATTTGTCACTTGGCCTGGCTCAGTCCCCCTTTGGCATGTGTCTGTAGTGGCTCTCTTAGACTAAAATCCTTGCTCTCTGCCTGTCGTGCTCCATGTCACCTCAGAACGCCAAAGCCAGAAAAGGCCTCGAGTCAAAGGCCTTGTGCTGTAGTAAGTCTGGGGCTGAGCCTCCCGTAGCGTCTTTGGCCAAGCTGTGGCCATGCCTATCCAGGTGGTTCCATCAGTGCTGTGCAAGGTTCATAGAAAAGCACTGGTCCCTGCTGTAAAGGAGATTGGTGCAAATCAGTCAGTTACGTAGCTGAGGTTTTGGGGCCAACTGATGCCTGCACCAGAGAGGTGGGGTTTGCTCATCCCAGAGAAACGTGGACCCTCTTCGTGGGGTTAGAGGCCTTCCCGAGGAGGCAAAGCTTAGCCAGGACCCGAGGGGTATGTTGGTGTTTCCCTTGAGGGGTTGGGGAGAGGGAGCAGCCAGGGTCAGAAGAGTGGGAGCCTTTGGAGGCTGGTGTCCACCAAGGGTGGTGGTGCCTACATAGTCCCGCTGACAGCATGGACAGAGCCACTGAGGAGCCTCAGGCTGCCGTGAGCCCAAGGTTGTAGGGTATGGGCCTTACTGGAGAGCCCAGGGTGCCCTGTGCCAAGCCCCCATTGTGGCCATCCATCCTCAACCTCCATGCTGTCACTGTCTGTGTCGTGTGCCGTCTGCTCATCTTCGACTGTTCGCCCCATGCTGCCTCCACCAATATTGCCCGTGCTGCCCCTAACCCTGACCACACTCTGTTCTCCAGGCTTTGTCTTTCTGCTTGCACCTGTCACGGCTCGCTTCAGGGAACAGCGCAGACCCGCATGCTCAGCCCTCAGTCCGGCTCCCTGCTACCCCTGTGACCAGGATCACCTTCATGTCTGCTGGTCCTGTGATTTGGAGAGTGTGTTTGATGTGCTTGGCTTCTGCTGATGGCCTGTCTTCCCAGTTCTGGCCAGAGGCAGTTGTAATGGTGGCCTCTCCTCCACTGTCCGCCTGCCTGCACCTCCAGCAGGTGGCCCAGTCCTATATTTCCATTGCTTTGC